GTTGGAGTTCGAGACCTTGGAGCTGGAGGCACTACTACTGGAGGTGCTCGTACTGGAGGTACTGGAGCTGCCAGGACTGGTGGTGTTGCTTCTGGAGGCAGTGGGGGTGGAGGCCCTGGAGCTGGTGCTATCAACTCTGGAGCGGGAGACCTTGGAGCTCGTGGTGCCGGTTCTGGGGGTGCTGCTGCTAGAGGCCCTGGAGCTGGAGGCGCTGGAGCTGGAGACCCTGGAGCTGGAGGTGCCGGTTCTGGGGATGCTGCTGCTGGAGGCACTGGAGCTGGAGACCCTGGAGCTGGTGCTGTCGACCCTGGAGTTGGAGACCCTGGAGCTGGAGGTGCCGGTTCTGGAGGTGCTGCTGCTGGAGGCACTGGAGATGGAGACCCTGGAGCTTGTGCTGTCGACCCTGGAGTTGGAGACCCTGGGGCTGGAGGTGCCGGTTCTGGGGTGCTGCTGCTGGTGGCGCTGGAGGCGCTCAGATTAGCGGTTCTGGAGCTGCTGGTGCTGGCGCTGGTGCTAGAGGTGCTGTGCGGCCGCGACCGTACTTCGTTCCGCTGCTTCAGCAGGTTCTTAGTCTCTCGCCTTCTACTAACCTTACTCCGCCGCTACTATGTCCACCGCCTAACCAGTCACAGCCACTGTTACAGCCCGCCTCCCTACTGCCTGCTCCTTCTCCCTGTACTGGGCAGTCCATAGGTTTTACTGAGCGTTGTGAGCCTACGTCTCGTCCTGCGTGGCCTGTTCGTGCTGTCCGCACTGATCGTCGTTTTCCGCTTCAGCGTCCTCCTCATGTCCCCGGCATGCACCAGATAGCACTTCGTCCTTCCTCTGTTCCACTGCGTGTCCCTCTGCCGTCTCCTCCTGCGTCCTCCCTTGCTGACGGCCAAGAGCTTGAGTCTGACTTACTTCGTGCTGCCAGCCCTACTGTCACGCGTCTGCTAGCTACTGTTGTCACTGACCCTTCGTTTGAGTCCGCTGCTGCGTCTGCCCTTGTTGCTGAGCTTGTTGACTTTGCTGCCGCCTGTCGCCTAGACTACGCCGCTAGTCTTGTTGCTGAGTCTGAGTCTGTCTATCCTCCGTCGGTCGGGGGTGAGTGTGCTCTTGGCACGAACGTCCTTGAGGACAGGCAGGAGGACCTTGAGTGTCTTGCGGCTGCTGTAACTCATCTCGTGGCCATGCTGCTTGCCCCTGAGGGAGACCCGGATGCGCCAGACATCCCGACTTCGCGCTCTTACGCAGAGGCGATAGAGGGTCCCTACTCCTCTCAGTGGCAGACAGCCATGGACGCAGAGATGGCTTCCTGGAAGTCCACTGGCACTTACGTCGATGAGGTTCCCCCTCCTGGGGCGAACATCGTCGACGGCATGTGGATTTTCAGGTTGAAGCGGCCGCCGGGTTCTCCGCCTGTCTTCAAGGCTCGTTACGTTGCACGAGGCTTCAGTCAGCGACAGGGAGTTGACTCCTTCCAGACCTTCTCCCCGAAGATGACCACTCTTTGGGTGCTGCTGCATGTTGCTGCTCAGCGTGACTACGAGCTTCACTCTCTTGACTTCAGCACAGCCTTCTTACAGGGCAGTCTACACGAGGAGATCTGGCTGCGCCACCCACCTGGCTTCACTGGGTCGTTCCCTCCTGGTACCCAGTGGAGCCTCCGCCGGCCAGTCTACGGTCTCCGCCAGGCGCCTCGTGAGTGGCACGAGACACTGAGGACGACACTTGCGGCTCTTGGATTTGCTCCTTCGACAGCTGACCTGTCGCTGTTTTTGCGCACCGACACTTTGCTGCCGCCGTTCTACATCCTCGTGTACGTCGACGACTTGGTCTTTGCCACTGCTCACACTAAGGCACTCGCCCTTGTGAAGTCGGAGATGCAGATGAGACACCACGTGCACAGATCTGGGTGAGCTGCGCAGCTACCTTGGCTTGCAGATCACCCGGGACAGAGCACGGCGCACCATCACACTGACTCAGTCACACATGGTGCAGCAGGTCCTACAGCGCTTCGGCTTCACTTGGTTGTCGCCACAGTCCACTCCTATGGCTACCTGTCACTCACTCTCAGCTCTGCCTTCGGATGAGTCCGTAGAGCCGAGTGGCCCCTATCCAGAGCTTCTGGGCTGCCTCATGTACCTGATGACCTGCACTCGACCTGACCTTGCCTACCCTCTTAGCATCCTGGCTCGCTACGTTGCGCCCGGGAGACACCGGCGAGGGCACATGGAGGCTGCTAAGAGGGTGTTGTGCTACTTGTGCAGTACATCGGGCATGGGGCTTGTGCTTGGAGGACGGGGTGAGGTTGTGCTCAATGGACACTCAGATGCGTCTTGGGTTGACGACCTGGCTACGCAGCGGTCGTCACAGGGTTACACCTTCAGCCTTGGTTGCGGCTCTTTTTCTTGGCGGTCTACCCACTCGTCTTCTGTTCTCAGCTCCTGTTGTGAGGCTGAGATCTACGCCACAGCCATGGCTGCGCAGGAGTTACGCTGGCTCACCTACCTGCTGACCGACTTGGGAGAGAGGCCTCGTTCTCCTCCAGTTCTGTACGTAGACAACAAGGCTGCTATTGCCTTGTGTCAGGAGCACAGACTGGAGCACAAAACGAAGCACATCGCTTTGCGTTACTTCCTTGCTCGAGAGCTTCAACAGGTTGGTCAGCTTCGTGTTGCTTACGCTTGTCTCCTTGCACACCTTGCTGCTCTTCCTCAGTGATGCTCTCCTCCATAGATGCCGCGGCTGCCACCTTGCCCAATTTCCACAAAGGGAGGACCGGGATCTGCCGCATACGCTTTTGGACATCTCCCTTTTGATGCAGATCCCAAATGAGGCGCTCGTGGTTGTAGGCACGATAGCGCTCCGAGCCAATCGTTGCGATGTTCACACCCGCATCTCCCAATCGGCTAGTAGAAATCAGGTTCGCGCACAAGTTCGGCACCCACAGCACGTTCTTCAGCCCCACGAGCTCTCCATCCGTTCCCATGAACTTTGCGCACCCCATGCCCATAAACTTGGCCTTGGTGCCCGTCGCGGATGTGACCGTAGAGATTGGTGCGGGCTGAATCTTATCGAGTAGGTCCGCACGAGGAGTCATATGCCAGGAGCTTCCCGAGTTAATCACCCAATGGGTGAGGGGGTGTAGGAGAACCTTAGCAGCCATAGCGAGGTCGGTTGCGCCTTCGTTAATGAAGAAGAACTCGGCCTTCCGCTCCTCAGATTTGCCGCCTTTCTCCTCATCCTTCTCCTCTCCACTAGCTCCCATGACTCCCCCACCCCTCCTGCCACCAAGCTCTTGCCAGCACTTCCGCCAACGATGTCCGCGATTCTTGCAGTAGAAGCACACCTCCCTTTGGCCCCCGCTGCCATCCTCCGTAGGGTTGTCCTTGTTCTTGCCCTTCCACTTCTTCTTGGAGCCACTCTTTCCACCTCCAACTCCATAGCCAGCCCCCTCCTCCGAGCGCTTCACACTCCGCCGCCGCGAGTCCCCCTCTAGGATGCGCGCGCGAATGTAATCCATGCTCTACTCGGGCTGTTGAGAGTTGAGGTTGATCGCAAGGGCAGACCACGACTCCAGCAGCCGAATCACAATCTCCACGCATTGCAGGAGCTCCGAGTACACCACACCACCGCCTTGGAGCTTCGTGAAGATGTCTCGCATCTCGTCCAACACCGGTTGCATCGGCTCTCCATTAACGAACTTTTTGTCGCGCAGCCGCCGCGCGAGTAGCACGATGCCGGTAGCGTGTGTCGGTGAGTGCACATCCAGAAGCTTCCTCCAAGCCTTGGTTCCACATTCTAGATCATCCAAGAGGTCCTTGATGTGGTCGAGTTGTCGTCCGCCAACCACTTGCACCATAAGCATGTACGCGTCGAACGAGCGCTTCATCCATGCTCCTTTCAGCTCCGCGACCTCCGGCATCTTCTCCTTCCCCTCCACCAGGTCCAATAGCTTGTATTGGGTGTACATCAGTCTCATGCGAAAGCTCCAGTGCTCGTAGCTTCCCCTATGAATTTCTCAAAAGAGAAAGCCTTCACAGGTTCCACGGCTGTAGGAGATGGTGTAGAAGATGACGGTTAGCGTAGGGTTGGCTGGTCTTCATGTATGCTACTAAGCCTAGGCCCTACTTAAACCCAACTCCTACTTGTGCTACTTTTCTGACATGGAATCCGAGTGTGGTTCTTCTTTCTAGGACTAACTTTCATGGGCCCACCAAATCCGCCATCATACATGGTGACCTATTATTCTGCTGGCGCAGAATCTCTGATGGCGCGTTTCTGCTGCTTGTGCTGAAACCGTCACGTCGCCTCCCTGTCACCTGCCTCGTCGCGGCGGTCAGTGCAACGGCGAGGCGGTCAGTGCGACGGCCAAGGCGGATGCTATGGCGAACGCTAGCAACCCGCCAGCATGTTCGCGCATGCGCCAGCAAAACTGCCAGCGAAATCGCCAGCGGCCTGCCAGCGCGTTCGCCCAGGCACGTACGCCCGTCCGCTCGCTCGCCCGCACTTCCACCCGCTCGTTCGTCCACCTACCCGCCCACATGCCCGTCGACCACAATACCGCCAGCAGCGACCTTGCACGCCGTCGCCAGCAGTGCGGCAGCATGCCGTCGCCAGCTGCACGTGCGACAACCGCCGCCGCCATAAAGGTGGGTATTGGGGGGAAGGCAGGGGCGGAATGGGGTTTCGATGGGACGTTTTCAGCCCGTGCCCGTGCCCTGCCCTTCCATGCCCCACCCGCGGCTTTAGCTGTGGGGGGGGAGGTGGCGGGGTGGGGGGGAAGCCAAACGCGCCCACCACCAGCTGCCTGCACCACCGTCCCGTCCCCGCGCCATCCCATCTCGTCCTGTCCCGTCCCGCCCCGGCCTGCCTCGCTTCCCAGCCGTCTCCTGCCTTCCTTCCCACTGTCCCCTCCGTCCTTGTTCCCCCAATCGCGCTCCTGTCAGCGCCAGCCGCGCTTGCTCCTACTGCCATGTCGGCTGGGGGAGGGTATGTGTCAAGGGTTGCGACCTATGGGGATGGAAGTGGCGAGGTTTGCAGCTCTTGGGAGGGGGGATGGCGGGATTGGCGGCTCATGGAAGGGGAGGAGTGAGGAAAGGAAGGGTGGGCGGGTGTCAGCAGCGTCCGTCAGCGCCAGCAGCACCTGCTGCCGCCCAATATTGCCTCACACCGGGGGTGGCGGGAGTGCCACTGCATCACCTACCGCCACTCCACCTCTTCCTCTCGTTCTCTGCTGCTGCTGCTGCTGTGGGGGGGGGGGGAGGCGGGGTGAGGGGTTGGGTGAGTCCAGGTGCAGCATCAACCGCCTCCTCCTCCTCTCATCCCCTGCCTTGTGCCTCCGGTACCCTGCCGTGCGCCTCTTCCCGGCACCTAGTGCGCCTCTGCCCGGCGCCTCGTGCGCCTCTGCCCGGCGCCTCGTGCGAAGTGATGCTCGGCGCCTCGTACGCCTCTGCCCGGCGCCTCGTGCGCCTCTGTCCGAAGCCTCGTGCGCCTCTGCCTCGCCCCGCGCGCGCCCTGCTGCCCCGCGCGCCCTGCTGCCCCGCGCGCCCTGCGCCCTCTGCTTCCCCGCGCCCCACGCGCCTCTGCCCTGCGCATTGCTGCCTTGTGCGCCTCATTGGCCCGTGCGCCTCTGCCCTGCGCACTGCTGCCCCGCGTGCTGCTGCCCCACATGCGCAGTCGCGCGCAGCTGCACACGCACCTGCGCCTGCACCACCAGCTCGCAAATGAACCAAGTTGCCTCGCGAAAAGTTCTGCCATTACGAAGTTATGGCTCGGACAGCGTTTGCCTAGTGTTGGAGTGCTAGCGTACTAGCGTTGACTCGGGTAGCATTCCGCCGTCGCACCGCGTAGAAACGAAATTCCAGGAAGGGAGGAATTCGCTTGAATCAAATTGACTATATCCAGGTACAAACAGAGAAGGAATAAATAGTTCTAGCTAGCAAGGACCTTGGGAATGAACCTGGGAACAACCAGGGATGATCCCAAATAATTCCAAGCAACAGAACCAACCTGGCTAGACAAAACAGCAGGTGGTAGGTTGGTAAACAACCTCTGGTTCTATTTTTCCAACCTGGGAAAACAACAACCAGGTTCAGGTCCTAAAAACAGAACCTGTTTCGTCTTTGCCCAACCAGCCAAAAACTGGTTCCGCTGGTTTCCCCTGGCCCTGTAGCATGCAGATACAGGCAAACAACATCCAACCTTCACCTAAATTGTACCCCTATAGTGCCTGCCCTTCTACACTATAGTCAATCAAACAAAACAGTACAATTTCGAGTTGGATAGAACTGAATCTGCACAATCAATTCAACCGAACCGCAAAGCTTCCATCTTGGGTTCCTTTGCGAGCTCGTCCTTTCTGCTTGTACTGTTCATAGCGCGTACAATGTTGTGCCGAAGCGCACAATGCGCGAGTACCTGCAAATGCTTCAAGCGAAAATTGCGAAAGCAAACAAACACACGAACATTCCATTCACACCCAAATGTATTCGCACACGCATACTCGTACAAACAGACGGCAGGATGTCGTGCAATGTAAATTTGCACCCAGCACACTCCCCCTCAGCCTGCCGGCTGCATCCCCATCAATCCATACTAGTTCATGCTCATTCCACTCATGCGCACACAACGCCAATGAGGCTCATCCGCAAGCCTCTTGGTGAGGAAGTCTGCTGGCTGCTGGTGAGTCTTGATGTAGATCGGATTCAGCGTCCCCCTCTTCACCTCCTTACGCAGCCAGTGCCACTTGATACGCATGTGCTTGTTCAGCCCATGAAGCACAGCGTTCCTGGCCATCCCAAGAGCCCCCTTGCTATCACAAAACAGCGGCGTAGCAACCTTCTGCTCCTGGCCAATCTCCTCTAACAGCCTCCTCAGCCAAATCACCTCCTTCACCCCATGGAACATCGCCATGTACTCTGATTCCACGGAAGAGAGTGCCGTCTCCGTCTGCTTCTTTGACCTCCAACTAACAGGTCCTCCCCCAACTACACAGAGGTATCCTCCCACAGATGAGGAATCCTCCTTCTCAGAGGCCCACGTAGCATCAGTAAAGCAAGTGAGAAACAGCTTGCCTTCTCCAAGCCGCTCTCCCATTTCTTTCAGCACCTCAACCCCTTTCTGCTTCACCTGTGCAGATGCGGAGTATTGAACTCCAATGCTTGGGTGAGAGTTCAGATACTTCACCACACGCTCAGCTGCATCCACCTGCTCCTCTGATGGATTCTGCACCACCCTAGCCAGCTGCCCAACCGAGAAAGAGATGTCGGGCCTTGTGTGAACTGCTGCATACAAGAGGCTGCCCACCAAGGACTGAAATTGCTGCTGCTCCTCGGCTTCAACCCCTTCATCCTCTGCAGCTTTCACAAGCTTGAATTCTGCTGGCAGGGGAGTTGCAACTTTGCGCTCATTCTCAATCCCATACTTCTCCCCCAGCTCTTTGATGAACTTCTCCTGGTGCAGCTTCAACCACCTGTGATCCAGATCCCTCTCCACGTGCATCCCGAGGTAGTACTTTACCTCCCCAAGGTTCTTGCACTTGAAGTTCTCAATCAGCTGCTGCTGCACATTCTGGATCTCCTTCATGCTGCTGCTAAAGAGAAGAATGTCGTCCAGATAGACCAGAAACAGCACCAGCTTCTCCCCCTCCCCCTTGAGAAAGAGGCTCTCATCACAGCTGCTGGTCCTGAATCCCATCTCCTCTAAAACAGCTGCCAACTTCTGGTACCAGCAGCGTGGCGCCTGCTTCAAGCTGTAGATGGACCTTTTCAGCTTGCACACCCTGCCCGTACCATTCTCATACCCAGGCGGCTGCGTCATGTACACATCCTCCTCTAAAATCCCATTGAGGAATGCCGTTGATATATCCATCTGAATGATGATTTTCCCACTAACGGTTGCATCTGCCAACAAGACACGAAGGGTAGGGGGTTTGGCAGTGGGAGCAAAAATCTCATTGAAGTCCCGCTTCTCCTTCTGCATAAACCCCTTAGCCACCAGCCTACTCTTGTAGATGGTGACCCGTCCCTTGTCATCGGTCTTGATCCTTAGCACCCACTTGCACTGTACAGCTTTCTTCCCATCGGGCAGCACCACCAGATCCCATGTCCCATTCTCTAGTAGGCTCTGGTACTCAGCATCCCTAGAAACCAGCCACTTCTCCCTATCTGATCCAGCTAATGCCTCCTCTATGCTAGCTGGTTCCTCTGGTGCAGGGGCAAAAAAACAGTAGGCAGGTTCATCCTCCTCATCCGGGTCATAGCCATGAGGTAGAATCAGCAATGCCTCCTCTGTCCCAAGCTGCTGCTCTGCTACATCAGCTCCTGCAGTCAACTTCTTAGTAGCCATACGGGTACGTCCTGGCCTGGAGACGGGTGTCTCCCATCCCTTCATAACAACACCCTTCGGCTTCTTAGTTTTCCCCTGCTGCTGCTCTCCTCCCTTGGATCCAGCAGCTCCACTAGTACTAGTCTCCACATCATTTTCTCCACCAGTAGATGCCTCCTGTACCTTCTCTCCATCACCACCCTCTGCAGCTACCTGCTCTCCCTCCTCCCACACACTAGGAGTCAGGTCCAGCTGCATGGTGATCTGCTCCATTTGCTGGGACACCCTGGCCTCCGGCTGTTTCTCCCAGTTTCCATACATCATGCCCTCAACAAACTTCACATCCCTGCTGTCAAACAACACACCCTTGGATGGTTCCCACAGCAGCCATCCCTTGCTCTCAGCAGCCAGCCCCAAATGCACACACCAGGTTGCACTTGCCCCCCACTTACTGCGGTAGGGCTTGGGGACGTGGGCGACTGCCATGCAACCGAACACCCTCAGCATGTCCACTGGCGGCTTCCTCCCAAGCCACCTCTCCAACGGCACCCACGAGTCATCCCCAACCTTTGTGAGTACCCTGTTCCTAGCGACGGTAGCGTGCCGAACAGCATGGGGCCACATCGAGTTGCCCAGCCCAGATTCTATGAGCAGCGCCCTAGCTGTCTCCAGAATTGTCCGGTTCGCCCGTTCTGCTACACCGTTAGACTGTGGGGTGTAAGCCGTGGTCAGCTCCCTCTGGATGCCCTGCTTCTTGAGCCAGGCCGTCATCTCAGCTCCAAGGAACTCACCACCCCGATCTGTCCTAATCCGCTTCACCACACACTCCGCTTGCTTCTCCACGAATGGAAGCCAATCATCCCGTATCGTAGAGGCGGCGTGGTCCTTCTGCTTCAGCGGATATGCCCACATAAGCCTGCTCCAATCATCCACTATGGTCAGAAAGTACCGCTCCCCCTTGTGCCCCTGAACCGGCAGCGGCCCCACCAAGTCCATGTGGACCAGCTCCAATGGCTTCTTGCTCCTGCCAGCCACACTATGGAAGGGGAAACGGGTAAACTTTGAGAGCAAACAGATTTCACAATTCTCATCAGGTGGCTGTCCGTTCAGCTTCAGACCCTTAACGGCTCCATCTTTCTCCAACTGCTTCAACAAGGGCATTGCCACATGCCCCAAGCGTCGGTGTGCCGTTGCCCAATCCGTCTCCCCAGATCTGGCCGACACTTTCACACCAACCCCTCCAACGGCGTTGCACTCCCCCTGGGATGCAGACCCCTCTCCAGCCTGCCCCCCATCATGCCACGCCAACGCCGGCAGCTGCCACATGGATCTGTACACGTCCGTGCTCTCGTGCAGATCCCAAAGCACCCGATTGCCCAGCTGCCCCTTGTAAGTGCGTGCCCCATCCGTGCTAGTGCTCACCCCAGCCTTGGCAAGCTTACGGAGGGAGATGAGGTTGGCCTTGAGTTCAGGAACGAGGAGAACGTCGTGCAGCACCACCGGCTTGCCATCCGCTCCCTTAAACGCAGCTCGTCCCGCACCAGCCACCTTCAGCACGTGTCCAGAGGCGGAGCACACCTCGTTGATCGGTGCAGCTCGTACGTGGTCCAGCAGGTCCTTGCGCGGCGTCATCGTCCAAGCAGCGCCCGTGTCCAACACCCAATAGTCCAGAGGGTGCAGCTCTGCTCCAACCTTGGCAGATGCGTCTCCTTGCTCCCCCTGTTCTCCAATATGGAAGAACTGGCCCGCGGTGCGCTCCTTCTTCTTTTCCGCACCGCCGTTGCTCTTCGGGTTGTTGTCGGACGAATCGGCGGCCAAACTCGCGCCGTTTTTCTGGTTCCTCCGCGCGCCGCCATCCTGGTGACGATTCTGGGGGGTCCATCCATCGGGTTTCTTATAGCACAAAGACCAGGGATGCCCCTCCTTCTCACAATACCAGCAACTCCCTTTCATTTTGCCACCAGCACCCGACTTGCCCCCACGTCCAGATTTCGCACCACGACCCCAACCGGTACCTCCTTGTTGGTCGTTGGAGTCGTCGTCCTTCTTTGCACCGCGTCCAGCACCACCGAAGCCACGTCCCCTGCCACGTCGGCTCCCTTGCATCCCGTAGCCGCTGCTGCCGTCGTCTCCACCCCTCAGTTGGCGGCGACGGAAGTCCTCCTCCAGAATCTTTGTCCGCACCCACTCGAGTGTCCACGAGCTCTGGTTCTGCGGCAGGCTCAATCCGCTCGTGAATTGAAGCCACGATCCCGGCAGCAGCGAGAGCATTTTCAAGCACTTGGTCTGCTCCGGGTAGGTGATTCCCGCGGTCGCCAACTTCGCGTAGAGGTCGCGCATCTTGTCCAGGACAGGTTGCACCGACTCTCCCTCGCTCATGCGCAACGCGGACAGCTCCCTCT